GGCAGCACCGTCACGCCATCAAAATTTGGACGCTTGGCAACACCTGCCTCACTTAACCACAAAAATGTTGGGGCTCAACTGCAATCATTAAGTCAAGGACGACCTGTATTTGGGGGAGCGGACTTCCTTCCGTCTCCAAGGGGTAGGACAGTGAAGGGGAGAGGGGGGCCCTTACGTGCATCTCAGGGGCGCAGCGTCCCAGCAGATCAATGAGGGCGGCATAGAAGGACATGATGGCGTTGCCCAAGTGGACCCTGTACTCCTCGTGCGTTTCTTCTCCCCCAAACCTGGGAGTGAGAGAGCAAAAAAAGAGAGGAGTGGGAGAGAGAAGCATTACTTACGGTGGTGTGCCATTTTGAAAGGGGTTAGTGGATTAAAATAGGAGATCCCGCCTCCACTCCATTGTGTATTCCTCCCTACCTTTGTTAATTCTAATGTTACGGTTTAAAATATTGTTTTATTACATTGTAAGGATCAAGGCTCTGACAATCCACGCCCACTCAAATCATGTCTCTAGCTGCATCTCTCAGAGTTAAAAAAAATTTGATTTATTAGGAGTGACCATGTCAGCGTAACCTGGGTGCAGCCGACTCTAAGGCACATCATTCATTTCCCCCTTGACCCTGGTCTTCCCCCCACCCCCTGCATGTATATTCTCCAAAGGGACACATCCATAGCCAAGAGTCATCAATCATGCTCTCCAGTAATAATCTTGTGTGCCAACAGCTTCGGCAGCCTAGCAATTATCTGAACCATTTATGGAATGCACTGCTTTCCCCACTCCCTTTCTGTTGGCAACTAAAAAGACCAATATTTTAGTTGACAGTAAGCACCCTACACAGGGATGCAGTGGCTCAGTGGCTAAGACGCTGAGCTTGTCGATCAGAAAGGTCGGCAGTTTGGCGGTTCAAATCCCTAGCGTCGCGTAAAGGAGTGAGCTCCCGTTACTTGTCCCCGCTTCTGCCAACCTAGCAGTTCGAAAGCACGTAAAAATGCACGTAGAAAAATAGGGACCCCTTTGATGGGAAGGTAACAGCGTTCCGTGCACCTTCGAAGGTGTTTAGTCATGCCGGCCACATGACCACGGAGACGTCTTCGGACAGCGCTGGCTCTTCGGCTTTGTAACGGAGATGAGTACTGCCCCCAGAGCCAAAAATGACTAGCATGGATGTGCAAAGGGAACCTTTACCTTTAGGCACTTTACAGTCCCATGACAGCATGATGGGTGGCATTTAAACTTAATAAAATAAATAAACAAGAAAACAATGTCTCCAGTCCAAATGACAAGGTGATCACAGGAGGCGTAAAGACAGATTAAAAACCGTTAGTGTAAAAACAAAGAATGGAACTGCAACTATACTCCCAGTCACTCTAGTGCGAAAGACAGAGTAGCTGGCAGCTCGTCAGGGTCCATTCACAATGCTACAAATGCCAAATATCCCTTAGAAGTTCTCAATTCTTAAAAACTTATCAGGCCAGAAAGAGATGGGGAGAACAGAAAAACAAGGAGGAAGTTGGCCAAACCAAACCAGAATCATATTGGGTCGAACAAGAGAAGACCTTCCAAATTACACAACAGATTTCTCCTCCCACCACCTCCCAGAAATTCCCTTCACACACAATTCCCTTCGGCGATCTTTCTTGACGGTAGGCCCATCCCGGGCGGGATCCTGAGAGATCTGGATGGCTTCTTCTATGGCTGCCAGCAAGCCGTTGCCTCCTTCCCCACGCAGGGCCGGGCCAAAGCACTCAGGGCGACGGATCAACAGGCGCACCACCACATTGGCGTTCTCCTCCACGCTTTCACCTATGGAAGGAGAAGGACCTGAGGGAGACCTATGGGACCAACCGATTACCCCAGGAACCCAGAAAAGCAACATGGAGGTGATAAGGTTATTTGAAGGACCACTTGTCCCCTATGACATCAACCTGGTCCGCCAGGATCGGTAAGGCAGAGCAAGTTATGGGTCCCATTGATTAGGGATCGTCATCCAGTGGGACCAGGAAAAAGGGTTTTCTTGGGAGTGGCCCCTCCTTTGTAGACCATCATCACTCCCTAGGTACGGTTGGTCCCCACCCTGCTGCTCTTCCCGGGGGCCCTAAAAATATACTTTTGTCAGCGGGCCTGGGGACTCTGAATGGAGACGAAGCCCATCGAATGGCTACTTTGAGTGTATTGAAGCTGCCATTGGGGTGGGATTCTTTAACTGATTTTATTATGTGCTGGATTTTCAACGATTATTTTAAAATGTTGTTGTCACTTAAGAATGAGTTGGTTGGCTACATAAGTTGGTTGGTTGCTTGCTTGCTTGGCTGGATGGATGGCTGGATAATTGATTGGTTGGTTGGTTGGTTGGTTGGTTGGTTGGTTGGTTGGTTGGTTGGTTGGTTGGTTGG